TAACTTTTTCCCAATACAATTGATTTTAGGTCAACTGATCAATTGACTGAGCAAAAATGTGGTCCAAGACTTGAAACTTGACATGAGCAATCTTGAGGGTCCAAAATGATCCATGAAATTTATATGGGGCATTAAAAGTCCATTTGTCCTTGTGCAAACTCAAACTCTAATTTTTAGTCATCAGTGCTTGAGGAGGTGTCTTGAGTTGATCAACCCTTGTGCAGTCTTGAATCAAAAGAGATCTTGTGAGAGATTACTTGAGAAATGAGAGGGAAAATTTTGGGGTACAACAAATTTCAATAATATTCATCTGATATTCTTGAATTGTCATATCATCATTCATCTTCAAGTTCTCGAATTTGGAAGTGATAAGCTAAAGTATTGAACTCTTCACTTTAGAGGTACCCTCATAAGTTGTCTTGAGAATCTCCCAAGCATCCTAGGCTACAGTACATGTATTAACTATCCTGAAAACAATTTTGTCTACTCCATTGAATAGAGCATTAAAAGCCTTGGAATTTCTAATGGCTTCTTATTGACAAGCAATTTTTGACTAGGGAAGCAACTCTTTAATTATAAGGTGTCTTCGATTAGAAAGGCCTGTGTCCACCATAAAGAAAATGGACGCGTCGACAAGCCAAAGAAGTCTAAGAAACCTGGTCGAAGAAGACACTGGTTCTGGAGGAAGTCTCGACAGGAGGCGAAGTGTTGACAGGCAATACCAAGTGGCGACGAGAGTAGTTACCAACTCACGAAGCCAGTAAGAAGTGGGGATGTTTTAAAGCAGTTTATAGCAGTTCTCCATGAATCCTAATGTGAGACTGGTAACTGTCAACAATTACACTTTTAGATTTTCTATTCAAGCAAGCATTTGCATTTGTTTCAGAGGTCGCATTTCTTCACATTTAGAGCATCACACTCAAAGTACCCGCATCTAAGAGAGAAACGAGTGTAGGCTTAACAATGTATGAATCCTTCCACATTTAAATTCATAGCAATTTCCAGTTTTCACTTTAAATTACAAGTCTTGTCATTTACTTTCTTTACTTTGCAATTGTTTTCTACTTTTCCCCCTTTATCCAATATCTGCAAGAAACCTCCAGAAACAAATCAAATTTGTAATTGTTCCTAAAACTCCTTGATTTCCTGCGCCTGTTATGGGTACTAGAAATCTCCAGAATCTCATATTTTTCAATCAAATCTTCAAGGGAAAATATCCAGATGTACTGTCATGATTTTCTGCTACAACATGTTATAACATTTGATAGAACATCTATCAAATAAGTACCAGCAGACTCTGTTGTACCAGCTGGTCAAGATATTATGACATCTTGTTCAATATTAGGCTGCAATAAATGTTTTTCCCAATAAAACATGTTTTGATAAAATTGTTGTCAACTACTTGTTTTACCAAAATTGTTTCCAACCATAAAATCACAGACCTAACAATTTGAAAGTCTTGCATCAATTCCTTGATTTCTTTTGTTTTCGGTACACTCACTAGAATAATGACCATACTTTTGATAATTGTAACATTGAATGTGACTCTTGTCGGATTTTCTCCCACCACCTCTTCCTCTACCTGCACACCACCTCTGTGGTTGCTCTGGTTTGAGTGTTTTCTTTAGTTTGACCATTTCCTTCTTATTGGTAACCTTTTCCATTTGAATAGTTGTAACCTCATCTACCTTTGTTGTTATTCCATCTTCTTTTATCTTTCTTTTCTTTTGTTGATTGCACTTGTAGAGCTAATCACTTTTTGCCTTACTTGCAGATCTCTCAACCATCCTTTGTTTATGACATTCAAGTGTCTCTCGAAGCTCTTCCTTTGTTACACTTGACAAATCTTTTGATTCTTATATGGCTATTACCTTATGATTGAATTTTGGAGCCAATGACCTCAAGATCTTTGCGACAAATGATCTTGATGTCAACACTTCTCCACACATTTTGATTTGATTCACTAGTTTCATATCCCTAGTGAAGAAATCAGCCACACTTTCACTTTCTTCCATCTGAAGTAATTTATAAGTTCTTTTCTGAGTTCGAACCTCACATCTTTCACCTTCTCTGCACCTCCAAACAATTTTTTCAGGATGTCCCATGCTCCCTTTGCCGAGTCTACATCACCAACTTTCTCAAAGTTTTCTGGATCAACGCATTGATGCATTATAAATAGTGTTTTATAATCTTTCTTCCTCAAATCTTTATGTGCAACTTTTTCTTCATCTGCAACGTCTTCTCCTATTGGTGTTACTCCATTCTTCACAAGATCCCAAAGATCTTGATAGCAGAAGACACCCTTCATCTGCATGCACTAAATCTCATAATTCTTATCTTTCAGGATTGGAAGATTTGTTGGAAAATGCTCGTTCGGATGATTCATCGTGCTATGCTTCCCAAGAATTACAATTAGTGCTCTGGATACCAGATGTTGGAATTAACTAATCTGAATCAAGCTTGATGAATAAGAATCAATCTTTCTGATCAATTACACCTATTGTTCTTTACTCTTTACTCGAGTGTTTTAATCACTCCTTGATTTCAAGATGATTCAGCTGCACAAAGATTATGTGAGACGATAAATTGAGAGAGAAAGATGAAAATTAGGGTTTTGAGAGAGAGATAGAAGGGAAGAAGAAAGAGTTGTGTAATCTGCAGAGTAACTCTCTGCTTTGCAAAATGCAAATCTCAAATTTTCAAATTATTATTTTACAATAATAGACTACCTCCCTATTCATAGCTAAGTTTGTTTGTTCACCAAGCAAATTTTAACTAACTAACTCAGCTAATACACAAAACAACTGCTAAGTCAAACTCTGTTGAACTACACTCCTTTGACACTACATACTTCAACAACTACTTGATGTATTCGACTCTCTATCAAATACAATTAATACAAACTCGATTGAATACTGTGCCGACACAAAAATTACATATTCAAACAATTTTATGATATCAAAATATAACCTAAATTTAATGATTTCATATAACTTAGGCTTAATGTATCATTTGGTCCTTTAACTTAATTTCAAGTTTCATTCTAATCCCTTATCTAATAAGCGTTTGTTTTAAGTCCCTTAAATATCATTCCGTTAATCAGATTGGTCCTTTCTATTAAGTTTTGTCAAATTTCGTTAACTTATATATGTGTGACAATCGAGCTGGTACCATGTTAGATGATATGAAATTATTTTAATTGACATGTTATTTATAATTTATTAAGCATTATTTATTTGACAGAGAAATGAGTTTGTACAAATAACAAGAGCACAACTAAAAAGAAACTATTAATATTTATACAATTGTTGTTGTGGAACATTGAAGGTGCAAAAGAGATTGCACGCACTATATCAAATAAATCAAACAAGGTTTACCTGAATTTGTATGATCCTTTGCTGAATCTTCAAGAGATGAATTTGGAGCCTAGCAGAAATTAGCTGGTTAATTGGCATTCTGATTTAGTTTAGAAGTTGTATTTAGGGAGTGTTTGGTTGTTTCTAGAATTGAATAAATAAGAAAAGACTAGCTTCTACAAGCTTCTATATTTTTAATAAAAGGAGAAGAATTGTTACATGTGATTAAACATGATTTATGAATTCGTAGCGAAAGAAGTGTAAGTCATGGAATAAAGTTGAACTTGTTCCGGCTCTAGTGTAGTTGCAGGATTTACAAAAATTTCATTAGTAAAATGTTCATTTTTTAGAGAAACTTACAAGAGAAGATTTATTATATTTTTTTATACATTATTAATAATTTGTGGAAGTCTTTAACCTTCGAAAATAAATCTCATTAGACTACTTGCAATGAGGGTGTTGAATAAAATTTTCAATAGTTAAATTGCTCCAGTGAATTGTTGAACGTGACATGTATTAATTTGTGTTGAAAATATTTAACATGTTAAATGAAAAATGAGTGAGAGCCACTTATAATACTTTGTAAAATATAATTGGTTGTTGTGATTTTTTATATTTTATCTCACATAAATTATTTGGAGTCAATTATTTTATAGAAAATCAATTATTTATTTATTTTTATTTTCACCAAAATTCATCATTTTTTTTGTCTATAAATAGAATCCTGACTCATTTGATTTGGACAAAGAAAAAAAAATCTATTTTTTCTTTTTAATTTTTCTATTATACTAATTAATTGTTTGTGAGTTGAGTCTATTGTACTAATTAAATTATGTGTGTTTCATTTTAAGCGTGTTGTGTGTATTGTACTGTATTTTAAGTTTTTTGTAATTACGAATATAAAATTAGAGGAAAAAAAATTAAAATAAGTTTTTAAATTAAAAAAAATTATTTAACTCTTAATTATTTTAAATTAATTTCAATTGATAATTATTATTAATATATAATCAAAAAAACAAAAACATAAAAAAAAAATATGAAATAAAAGTGGTGGAGTAAGATGTTGAATTTTATTAAACAAAATTATTGTAGTAAGTAAACGTTAATTGAATACTGAATTATTTGATGGAGTATAAAAAATAGGAAAAATAAATGTTGAATAATTTTGCCATGATAGATAATGTTAATTTAGTAATTCATGTATTAACTTGCGGTAATACCACATCACTAATTATTAACAATTTAACCAAATAATTAAGTTGGTTAACGAGACAGTTTTTAAAAATTAAAATATAATATTTATTAAATAAAAAGATAAAGTGAAATTTGAAGTTAAATTAAAAAGTTTGTTAGTAATTAAGGCTATCAATTATATTTGTTTGGTATTGAGGGTAGATTGATAAACATTTTTTTCTTGAAGGGAAGGGGGCATGGGCCGTAAAAGTGGTTAAACCAACCACCACCAACAACAAGAGTAAACCATAAAACACAGTTGTGAGTAAGTGACGTTAGATTCAGTGATACAAGTAGTTGAAACCTCCGCCATCTTTCGATGAACACGAGGAAACATTCTTTCTATTTCCCTTAAACAAAAACAAACACCTCCCCACATTCCTACCCAATTCCCCATTTTCACTCTCAACAATGTCTCAGCTTCTTCAAACCCCGTTCCTCCATTCCACCACCGTCCTCCGCCGCACTCCCACTTCACTCCACCGCACTTCAACCCCCACCAACAACCTCGTCGTCCGTGCCAAGATCCGAGAGATTTTCATGCCCGCACTTAGCTCCACTATGACCGAGGGCAAAATCGTGTCGTGGATCAAATCCGAAGGCGATAAACTCTCCAAAGGCGATAGCGTTGTCGTCGTTGAGTCCGATAAGGCGGACATGGACGTCGAGACTTTCTATGATGGTATACTCGCTGCTATTGTTGTTGAAGAAGGCGGCGTCGCCGCCGTTGGATCTCCGATAGCATTTCTCGCTGAAACTGAACAAGAAATCGAACAAGCCAGGTCCAAAGCCCTCTCTTCATCATCTTCATCTTCATCACCTTCAGCATCTCATTCTACTCCACCACCAGCACCTTCACCTGCACCGGTAGAATCTCAACCCAAGAAACCTGTTGCAGCGGCGGTTGTGTCTAAACATCCTGCTTCCGAGGGAGGGAAGAGAATAGTGGCGTCGCCTTATGCGAAGAAACTGGCTAAGGAATTGAATGTGGAGTTGGGTCAAATTGTTGGGACTGGACCTTCAGGGAGGATTGTGGCTAAAGATGTTGAGGCGTTTGCAGCTTCAGACAGTTCTTCTTCCGCAGGTGTTGCCGCTGCGGCCGAGCCAGCCAAGACTGCTGTTTCGGGTGTTGAATTGGGAAGTGTGGTGCCGTTTACAACAATGCAGAATGCTGTGAGTAGAAACATGGTAGAGAGTTTGGTTGTTCCCACTTTCAGAGTAGGTTACACTTTCACCACTGATGCACTTGATGCTCTCTATAAGAAGGTGATTTTTCGTGTCTCTTTCTTTCTTTATATTACTCATAATAATGATTGTGCTTGATGCTAGCTAGATGACTACCACATTGGTTCTTTGGACATTATATATAAATGGATAATTTTGTTAGTATTTAAGATCTTCATATAACATCAAGGATTAGAGAAAGAAAATGCTGGCGAAGAAACTATCAGCAAAGTTATCAAGTGTTATTGACGAGTTTCTGAGCTAAATAATTGGAAATTGTAGTCATGTATGATCTTCGCGAAGTTGTTATTTTAAGGTTTTAACATGTTTTGATAGTTTGATATCTAGTGTTTTTCAAATTGTTCTATGGCTTCTGGTTTAACATTCAATCTGTTTATATATGTTTATGTTATTGATTTATTATGTTTTGTGACATACCAGATTAAATCAAAGGGAGTTACTATGACTGCATTGCTTGCCAAGGCTACAGCACTTGCGCTAGCTAAACACCCTGTTATAAACTCTAGTTGTAGGGATGGTAATAGCTTTACTTACAATAGCAGCATCAACATTGCAGTTGCTGTGGCTATAGATGGCGGACTTATTACTCCAGTGCTTCAGGATGCTGATAAGGTGCTTGATACTCTATTTTAAGCTGCTGATAATCTAATGTAAAGCTGTGCTCAATTGTTTAAAAATTTATTTTATGTATATTTTAGGTTGATGTCTATTCTTTGTCAAGAAAGTGGAAGGAGTTGGTTGATAAGGCCCGAGCTAAGCAGCTGCAGCCTCATGAATACACCACAGGTGCGATAGTTGTATATTTATTGTATCTCTTTGAATTTTCCCATTTATCATAGAATCCTTAACTTGTGGGTAGGACTAGGATTGTTGATTGTTAGCTTAACATTAGTGTCATTCGAGCCTTACTATATGCATATTAGGACATATCTTTGTCCAAAATAAAAAGAATGCTCGGAGGTTTAAAAAATAAACGACAACAGTGTAGTTCATGATTGCTGCGGGCTGTTGTGTATAGAATTAGTTCCAGTCTACAAAACCTACTTGGTTATATTCTTCTTGGGCTGGATTCTTGTGAAATCATTGACTGACAAAAATTGATAAAATCCTAACAGAGAGTTTGGCTAACTTTGCACATATACCATGTTTTAGAGTTGATCTGTTAGTAGTTTAAGCTTTTAGATTTGGAATGCAGTCATACACAAATGAAATGTAATTTGTGGACTCCTGGACTAATGTTGGTATTTGCATAATCTCTCGCTTCAATAAATAAATTTCTAAATTATTGAAGTCAAGTTTTGACAATCCCACCAACATGTTTTAGAATAATGAAGTTATTAATATAGTCTAAAGAAACCCAAGTTCAAGTTGGTGATTCCCTGACACAACCGAAGATTAATTTTGACCTCTTCTCAGTTTTCTCTTTTTGAGTTTTCATTTTTTGAGTGCTAAGTTATAGAATTGAGGGGTGGTGATTATGTTACAGCGAATCTTTATACATCAAACTAATGGAAATCCTGGTGTTTCTTAGCTGAATTTTTTGAGGTTTACTATTTGAAAGAGTTCTTTAAGGTTGGAAGAATAAATTTGGGTTTGAAAAAATAAGCAGGAGGGCTAATAAGGGTTAGTTCATGACTTAGAGTTGTTAATGTTAGGAGAACAGAGATTTCTGTTTTATTAATTAGCCATAGTAGGTTTAATAGAACATGAGGTTAAGGATCGGAAAAGTGAGTTGAAGAGATAACTTGAAGTTGGGTGCTGCTGTGGTCATCTACATTCAACTATAATTTGTGGTTGGTTACAAATTGGAGAGAATGAAAAGCACCTCTGAATTTAAATAATAACAGGCATTGTGTTATCTTATCGCTCTATGTTAGGCCAGCCAAGATACGCTACACGGCTGGACTCCATGGAAGTATCTTTATTTTTCCAGGGCAATTCATGGTGCTATTGCTGACTCTTTTTTTATAGATTATAAGTTGCTGTTAGTAAAAATTCTACCTTGCTTAATTTGTTCTCGCCATGGAAATCTCTTTGAAGAAGCTAGAGACACATTTATGATTTCTACCAAAGAACAAGCTATATAGTTTCTATAATTGAACTCTACATTCAATTTTTGGCTAATTTAAAGACACTTATTTCTGATATTTGCCCCACCTCACTGTTTTCTGTTGTTTCTCTAGGTACTTTCACCCTTTCCAACCTGGGAATGTTTGGCGTTGACCGCTTTGATGCTATTCTGCCTCCTGGAACTGTGAGTAATCTTATTTTGTGTTCAAATTGAACAGTGATGGGCGACATGAGTTTGATCGTTCTATGGATTTATTTTTGTAGGGAGCAATTATGGCAGTTGGATCATCACAGCCAACTGTTGTGGCTACCAAGGATGGACGCATTGGCTTGAAGAACCAAATGCAGGTTTGACTTATTTACTTTTGGTTAAATAATTGTAAATCCATTTCCAGACTTCTGTTCTTTTTGTAACTGAAGGAATGCAAATTTGCAGGTCAATGTTACGGCAGATCATCGAGTAATCTACGGTTCCGATCTAGCTCTCTTCTTGCAAACCCTGTCACAGATCATTGAAGACCCTAAAGATCTTACTTTCTAGTCTCATTTTTCTATATTCTAATGCTGCACACACAAAAGGAAAAAGAACTTATGATTCCTCTCGTCATGGATTACAGACTTATAATCGTTGAGAAGCACAATCTGAGAAGCCAAACTACTTTATTCACTCAGGATTGTGCAAAGAGCAGGAACAGAGTTTTGAATAGGAAAGTTGAGTTCTAGTTTCTTATATGAGATCGAGTCAAATATGACATTTTTCATTTTTTCGGTTGTACTGTCTGATTATAATTTTTGTTGGTTGCTCATTATTGTCCGAATAATGTCCATTATTTATGTGAGAGCATGAAACTTGTTTTAGATTCTGTTTAGAAAATTGAACAATGATTAAGTTATTTAGTAAAATAAAGTAGTGTGATGAATATTAGTGCTAAGTGTGTATGATTGTCTTGACATTTTGTATTGATGACAATGACTGTAATAGAAAAACTAGTTCCGCCAAAATAGTGTCATATATATGACTATTTGATATTTCTAAATATATAAGAGAGAAAACAGATTCACTTTACACAACTGTCATACCATGAAGAGCAAGAAAAACTTAATTTATACATCACTATAGAAGGACTATAGAAGGATGAAGCAATGTTCTTTGTATTTGATATTCTATATCTTCTGTATATATTCAATATACCATCCAAAACAAAACCTTTATCTGGCATTCAGCAACATTCTTAGCACAGTCTTCATCTTTGGTCTTGCATCAGTGGATGTGCTTACACAAACAAGAGCAATCTCCAGAATTGCAAGCATTTGGTTTCTAACAGCCTGTGATGTTCTACTAACATTCGAATCAAGGAAGTAATCTTGATTTCTTGAATTACGTGTAACCCACTTCACCAATTCAGTCCCCTCAGTCACTGCAGGTTTTCCTGTCAGCAATTCCAGTAGAATGACCCCAAAGCTATACACATTCCCTGCCATTGTTACTCGCATCATGTACGCATACTCTGCAAAATCAACAAACAAAATGATTTAGATCTTCAAAACAGAAATAGAAAGAGTCGCTCAAATGTTTATGGATTTAGACAAATTGGAAAGAAATATAAGGAGTTCTGACCTGGAGGAATGTAGCCAACAGAACCAGCAACTGCAGAAAAACTCCCAGAACTTTTTGAAGGATCGATCACCTTGTAGTGTTCAATATCGCCGACTAGAGGCTCCTTGAGTGATTTCAGCATAATACTCTTACTTGACAAATCAAGGAGAAGTATTGGACCAGAGGCACATCCATGAAGAAAGGATAGACCTTGAGCCACACCAACAGCTATGCTATATCTGCTAGCCCAATCTAAAGAGTTTTCCATGCTTCCATGAAGCACATCAAAGAGAGATCCGTTCGAGAGAAACTCGTATAATACATAAGCATTGTTAGTGGACACAATATAGCCTAGAGGAATCATCACATTTGAATTGTTCAACTTTGCCAATACTTCTAGCTCTTTCCCGAATCTATCAAGACTACTCACAGGGAAGATTTTGTCACACCAGTTCAGCTTCTTGGCGAAATAGATCGATCCAGATGGCATAATGGCCTTATAGTAAGTTGAAAACTTGGTTTTCAGAGTTACATTTGATGTTTCAGCAACAGCTTCCATGGTCTTGGAGAAGTCAATGTTTGATCTATGGATCCCATTTGTAGTTAACAAATTACTCTGGATGATCTGAAGGTCAAAATTTTCACCTTCACTTGCCTGTACGCGCTCATTGTTACCCCTATAACAGTGTCGTGAAATCAATACAACCAGCAGGGTGACCACACCGACCACAAAAATAGCAGCAGCAATTGCAATAAGAACAGCTGCGACAACAGATTTCCTATTTTTTGTTCTTGAAAAATTGTTGTCTGGGACATTAGTATTGTTCATGACACCGGTTCCTCTCGTATTAACATTAACGTACGGAGCAAATGATGGAAGGTCTCCTGATAGACGATTATTTGAAAGCTGCAACTGTGTCAATGCAGTCAATTTGGTCAAAGACACAGGAATTTCACCGGAGAAATTGTTATTTGAGAGATCCAAAACTTCGAGGTTAACCAAATCGCTGAAACTTGAAGGAATATTTCCACTAAAGTGATTGCTGCTTAGATTCAATGCAATCTGTAGACTCAAAGGCATTTTTGGAATATCACCACTCAGCTGGTTTTCTCCAAGCTGGAGTTCTAAAAGTTTCCCCAAGTTTCCAATAGACGGAGGTATAGACCCGTTAAGATTGTTCCCTTGCAAGTAAAGCAATGTAAGGTTTGCTGTCATCTCAGACGGAATCGGTCCATCCAGAGAATTCTGGCTCAAGTTCAAGGTAGACAACTTTTGCAATTGAGAAATTTGAATTGGAATAGTACCATTAAGCTTGTTCGTTTGAAGCTTCAAGACTTGAAGACTGTTAAGATTTCCAAGTTCTGGTGGCAATGCACCCGTCAACTGATTCTCAGCCAAATTCAACAAGGCCAATTTCTTACAAGAGCCTAATTCAGGCGGTATCAAACCTGCCAACTGGTTATTATCCAGCTCCATGTAGGTCAAATTGTGTTCGGCTTCATTGCAAGTGATCGAAGGAACCTCTCCTGTCAAGGAGTTTCCCCCTAATCTTAACCTGACTAAACTAGGTGAAATATTTGCAGGCACAGGCCCTTGTAAATTGTTATAGGACAAATCTACAAGCATTAGCTGTGATGGAGATAAAAGGCCTTCTGGAATAGACTGGGATAAATTATTGTAACTAAGATCCAAACTATTTAGAAATTTTGTAATTCCAGGAGGAACAGAACCAATAAAATGATTTTGATTAGCTGCAAATCTTACAAGAGATCTGATATTCATAATTGTCTTTGGGATTTGGCCAACTAGATTATTAGAGGAAAGACTCAAAATTTCCAATTTGGAAAGATTTTCAATATTTACAGGAAGAAACCCAGAAAGAAAATTTGACTTAAAATCAATCACAGTCAAATTTTTATAGCTCAAAATTTGTTCAGGGAATGTTCCTTGAAAATGATTGTTTGAAAGCACAAGCTGCTCCAAAACCATAGACTTTCCAAGGTTAGTTGGAAATTTCCCAGAGAACCGATTGCTACTGAGATTAAGAGACTTGAGACTAACCATTCCATCTAACTGCAAATCAATGCTTCCTTTCAAGAGATTGAAAGACATGTCAAGTGTTTCCAATCCACCAAAACCATGAAAAGTAGGCAAAACACCACTCAACACATTTCCACTAAAGTTCAAAAGCTTTAAACTCACAATTTTTCCACAAGCGGAAATAAACCCATCTGGGATAGAGTTCAGATTGTTATTAGAAACATCAAGGTGCTGCAAAGTTTCAATTTTGCAGAAAACAGGAAGAGACTGTGAAGAGAGAGAAAAACCAGACAAAACAATTTTGATGACAGTTGAATTGGTAAGGTCACAAGTGACACCTTTCCATGTACATGGATTAGGGTGCTTGTTGGTATTCCAATCAGGGTTGTTAACAAGATTGGAGAGAGTGTTCATGGTTTGTGTTTGGTTTTGAGACAACAAAGAGAAAACCATAGGACATAACAAAAACATAACTAGGAAAGTTGTTGTGTACTCATACCTGACCATGTTCATTTTGTTATGTTGTTGAGGTGGAAGAGAATACTATAATATAGTGAAGAGAATACTAATAAAGGTGGAAATGGAATTAGAGTTTGTGGAAGATTTTGTTGAAATTTGGTGTTGTTTGTTGGGTCAGTGGAAGGAAATTTGGTGGAAATGAGGGAAAGAAGAAAAGTTGTATTTTTGGGAGTATGTAACACTGCAAAGAACAGACAACATAAAAAGCTGGTTGTGTCTTAATTTTCTTACAGTACAAAAATATTAATGAATTATTGTTGAACTTGACTTTGACTTTATACTTGGACTCTGACTTAATGCAACACTAATCACTGCGTGTGACCCTTTCAAACTCGTAGGAACCATTACAAAACGCGTATCAACATTATAATGACTTCTTCTTCATCTATAAAAAGTTAAATAAGGAATCAAATAAGTTAAAAGAAATTGGTTTCCTCTCTACAACAATTATAATCTCTCTCTCAAAAGAAAATGGAAATTTAGCAGAAGAAATAGATCGTGTCTTAGAGAAAAAAAAATCTCTTAGTTTAAGTGTGTTGAGTGCAAAGTCTTAAAAGACAAAATGAAAACTTGTATAAGACATTTGATAAATTTATTAAAGAGACATATAACTTGAATATCATTTTACGGTTGATATAATTGATTTTATTAGAATTTGGTTTAAAATAATTAATTTATGTTTATATACAATTATATATTTATGTAAAAGTAAGATGAATAATAAATTTTAGAGTAAAAATCACTTCAAATCAATTTTGAAAGTAGAAGTTATAAATTCTAACTTCAAATAATGCTAAAAATAGAATTAATTATATTTTTTGATAAACCAAATATGTTAAAATCACCCTGAATTAATTCTACACTTCTAGAATTAATTAAGGGTCTTTCGAAAGATAATTCAAACATAATATAAATAATAAATAAGCTGCCAATAATAAAACTGATTTAGAATATTGGAATATTTTATATTTAAATATATAATTATTATAGTTTAATAACTAATGTTATTATATTATAGTTTATATATAATTATTTATAAAATTAAGAGTCATAATCAAATATGTGATAAAGTTAAAATATTTAATTCGATTTTTATTTAGTAATTAATTAAGTAATTAATTAGTAAGATATAAACTTAAATATGAGTGAATGTCAAGATGATTTATTTTAGAATAATGCATGGTCTCCAATGTGTCGTACAACATAAATATTATTTATTCTTTTCATCTGAAGAGTGTCTAAGACATTAGAAGTATCAGTTGAGAAAGATCCACAAATCAAAAAATACTAATCACTTGTCTCTAAACTTTATTGTTTCAGATCAGTATTTAAAAACTTATCAACTTTGTTACATGTATTATTGCAATCACATATCCAATTAACTAATATGTCGTAGTTCTTGTAATTATATGCATTCGTCCATTTTTTATTCTATTCCACACTAAAGTATATGTTAAACATGCATATGTGATTATTATTTTGTTATTAATTTTAACATAGGATACAAACCTTGTTTCGAGCCGCCCACAAGACCAAAAACGCAAAGGTCCAATAGAGAAGTAATAGGGATAAAGTGAAGAACATTTAGTCTCTTTTTCCTCTATGAAAGGAAAATTACACATGCGAGAACTTTGTTAGCCTTCCAGATCAATCATACAGTTGACTGTGATCTACGTTTTTAGTTGCCAAAGCTTTTGTAACACCTCATACATATATGTCTTAGAATAATATGCATATGGTATTATATAATGGTACGTGAATGTCATACATAAGCAGCGAAATAGGATGAGTATCAGTACAAAACACAAAAGCCGAATGTATCATGGTAAAAAAGATACAATCCCCTGAGTACTAATACATAATCCAAAGGTACATGAGTAAAAGTTCCAAAACATGATATAGCATAACCAGGAAACATATTCAAACAAGTTAGGCCATCCTACCTTTTCCTTTGTCCTGTCTCGAGCAACTTGAAAAATAATAATATGATTGAGGTGAGATTACTAAATCTCAGTATGTCCCCATATCTTATGAGTCCATTCCGTCCTACATGGTACATACATCAAAATGGATCTTCCGTCGATCTACGGTTTCCTCACAGTTAAGTACAAGAATACACAACAACACATCCATCACCATTGGGAGTCCCTTGACTACCCAATTTGAAATCACCAACCACACAAACAGAACAAAGCAAACAACTATATAGACCCGTACCCGCGTACGAGGAATCCAAAAGTAGTATCTATCTGTCTACCTAGGCCATGCAATCACACCCTCAGTGAGTTGCGAGTGCCTAATAGTCAAGAGACTTGCACAAACACACTACACGGTGAATCATATGTGTTGAAAGTGATTGACGCTTACTTGGCTACACAATCCCATATGTGACGAGTTAACAAAGTGATATTGCCTATGTGGCATCACGACCCTGTCAATCATGTTTACGCATGTGTGAACACACCGAAACTAAATCCGGAACTCAAGTGCAACGACGCCTACACGATTGCACAAGCCCACTAGGGTAAAAGCCTAGTGATATTCACCTACGTGGCATCTCTAGGTGTGAGTTGGAAGTTATATTGCCTACGTGCATCACAATTCCACCATACCAATCACGCTGATATGTTAACGTCAAGTGGGAACACCCTTTAAGACCCTCACAAGCATATCACAATGATAGCTCAGATGTATACAACATATCGATAATGTTGATGTGTTAACGTCAAATGGAAAACGCCTTTTTAGACCCTCACAAGCACATCACAATTGTAGTCTATTAGACTGAGTCCATATTCATAACGTGATTTACCAACTAGTAGCTTAGGCCTACTTCGATTCAAGCATACATCACAACCACATCCCAATGTTCAACTGGAACGAACAGGAACACAACCAATCAAATGATCATGTCATAACATTTATCATCACAATGCATTTATTTAAGCACACATACAAAAGTTTTATAAAATGATAATATCATGTCATCTATCAATCCATAACAGTCACTAGGAGCCATAATAAACAAAGGAGGCGTCTGAATCGCGATACAGAATGGAACTGCACTCAGGATAATCAAACATGCAATTCTGCTCAGGGAAGTTCGCTAAGAGAACTGGTAACGAATGGTACTTTGCTGAGCGAACTTCCAGCGAATGCAAACAGAAGTTTTCCCAAGTTCTGGAATGGGTGGTTTGTTAAGCGAACTAGCAGGGAAGAGTATTTATCTAAGCAAGGTCCATCGCGCTTAACAAAAATGTCCCAGGATTTTCTTACCCAGCTTAAGAAAGTTCACTAAGAGAACATAAGTTCGCTAAGCGAAAGTCACTGCACACTGAAAAACCAGAAATGGAAGAACACGAAATTTTGGGTCCCAACTCCCATTTTTGCATCCCAAATCATGTATCAACAACCCTAAACATGCAAGGTATCAAGAGAACATGTTTTACATCATTTAAATAAGCATGCAAATGATCTATCACTATCTAACACCTTTATCGTGCAATTTTACCAAAACCCCACCCCCAATTCCTATCTATGGAACTCACCTTGTATATGATGAAGAAGGTACTGAAACAGAAGGTAGATGTTGAGAAAACTCAGGCTTGAAAGAGTTATTGATGCATGCAAGATCAAATGTTGAAGTTGTAGTTGAACTTCCTCTCTTTTCCCTGTTTCACGTGTTTCTCTTCTTCCACTCCATAAAAACCCGTTTTGTTCAATGTTAGAATAAAATGATATATATCCAAACAAGTCACTAAGTCCCTCATACAAAACGGGTTAGGAAGATTGATGATCTTATACGTTGTCTTGACAGGCAAGAAATATATCGACTTAGTCAACCAGTCTCAAATCACCCATATGGATTCATGCCCACCCAGTGCACAAGGTAATCCAACTATGAAGTCCATATATATACTATCCCACTTACACATAGGGATCTCCAATGGTTGTAACATACCGCCTGATCTCTGGTGTTCTATCTTTACTTGTTGACAAATTGCACACAACCCTACAATACTCTGCCATATCTTTCTTCATACCAGCCCACCAAAATTTCTTCTTCAGGTCTTGGTACATTTTTGACGACCATGGATGGATGGTGAACTTACTCTTATGAACTTCATCCAAAATTAACCTTCTCAACTTCTCATCATTGGGTACACACATCCTTTGTCTGAAAAAGAAGAATTCCCCCGGGTGCATGAACGGAGTCATGGAGACCTTCTTTAGCTTGCAATTATGCATCAAACCATTGTGCCTGCCCAATTCTTTCCCGCAATTCATTTTCAATTCAAAGGTTACTAATCAACACACCCGTCAGTGCCCACTAAAACTATAAATCAAAGTTCTGAAACTTTTCTAACAGGTCATACTCTAGCACCATAAGCTTGGCAACACGAATCTTTTTTATACTCAAGGCATCAACCACCTTGTTAGCCTTTCTGAGATGATACTTTAAGTCGAAGTCATAATCCTCCAGGTATTCCATTCATCTCCTCTGACGCATATTAAGCTCTTTCTGATCGAAGAGATATTTCAGGATCTGGTGATCACTAGACATCTAGAAGCGAACTCCATATAAGTAATGTAGCCACACCTTAAGTGCGAAGACAATATCAACAAGCTCAAGATCATGAGTGGAATAATTCTCTTCATGAGGTCTCAACTGTCGAGATGCATAAGCTACCACCTTCCCTTCTTGGATTATCACTCCACCTAATCCTTTCTTAGAGGCGTCGCAGAAAACTTCATATGGTCGGTTTGGATCAGGGATCACCAACACCGGTGCAGTCGTCAACTTCTCCTTCAGCTTTTGGAAGCTCTTTTCACACTCAGAGTTCCAACTGAAGGAAACTTTACTCGTTGTAAGTTTTTTCAAGGGTAATTCTAACTTGGAAAATCCCATAATAAACCTCCGATAATAACCTTCAAACCCTAAGAAACTTTGAACCTCTGTTGCATTCTTTGGTCGTTCCCAATTCACCACAACT